CAGCAGGGGGCATGCAGGACGCAGATCAATGACTTTCTCATCATTGATGTTTCTACCTCTCTTCCTCTCTCTGAATCAATAAAGTTATATTTTTTAAAAAAAAGAAAAAGAAGCCTGTCAGAGAAAGAAGTATCACATGATCTTACTTATATGTGGAGTCTAATGAACAAAATAGATCCAGAGACATAGAAGCATGGAATAGACTGATGAATCTCAGAGGGAAGGCAGAAGTGGGTGGGGAGAGATTAACCTAAGAACTTACATGCATATATGTATAACCCATGGACACACACAGTGTGATGAAGGCCTGGGGGGAGGGGCAATGGGGGAAAAAGGGGGGATTTGTAATACTTTTAACAATAAAGGTAAATTTTTTAAAAATAATAATTTCCACCTATATATCTCATTTTCTACAACTCTTGCAGAGATTTTTTGTTTCTGCAGAAAAGAGCCCAAATGTCAGTATTTTTTTTTGTAAATTCTGGCACATTCACTATGAATATTTCCACAGCAATGAATGTAACATATAGTTTAATTAATGGTGTATGTTATTAGTTTTATAATTTAGCCCACTAGTGAGTCATTTAGAGTTTATTAAAAGAATCACATTCAAAACACACTAAAAAAGTAAAAAAACAATGCACTGAACGGGGGGAAATATTTGTAAGCCATTGATCCAGTAAGGGACTTGTATGTAGAATGCATAAGGAACACAACTCAATAATAAAAGGACAAATAATTCAATTTAAAAATGGACAAGGATCTAAATAGGTATTTCTCCAAAGACTGCATATAAATGGGCAATAAGCACATGAAAATATGCTCAACATCATTAGTCATCAGGGAACTGCAAATCAAAACCACAAGATTCCACCTTACACCCAACAAGGTGGCTATAATAAAGACAGATAACAAGAAGTGTTGGCAGAGATGTGGAAAAATTGTATCCTCATGCACCACTGTCAGAAATGTATAATGATGCAGTCACTGTGAAAAAGTCTGGTAGTTCTTCAAAAGGTTATACATAAAGTTCTTATATGACCTAGCAATTCTACTCCTAGTTATCTATCCAAGAAAAATGAAAACAAATCCACACAAAAACTTGTATGCAAATGCTAATAGCAGTATTATTTATAATAGCTTAAAACTGGAAACAATCCAATGTCTATCAATTGATGAATGGAAAAATTCATACAATGGGTTATTATTTGGTAACAAAAAGGAATGAAGTACTGATACATGCTACAACATGGATGGGCCTGGAAAACATGCCAACCAAAGGAAGCCAGTCACAAAAGACTACATATTGTATGATTCCATTTAATGAAATGCTAACAAAAGGCAAACCTATAGAGACAAAGTAAATTAGTGGTTGCCAAGGGCTGGGGAAGGTAGGGTGGGGGGGTTGTTGCAGAATGATAGCTAAAAGGCATGGAGTTTCTTTTTGGGTGATTAAAATGTTCTATAATTGATTGTGGTGATGGTTTTACAACTATATGATACACTAAAAAAAAACTCAGCTGTATATTGAATACTGTATGATATGTTAATTATATCTCAATAAAACCATTACAAAACAAATGGTCACTTACGATTCTGATTACTCTATTGCATTTGTAAGGGAAATTATAGCTACTTGGTCTTCATAAAGGCCTTGAGGTATATCCCTCTAAATAGAAGTTCTCTTTCTTAACAGGAGACAAAGATAAAGCAGGTAGAAAAAGAGGGAAAATCTTCACAACTGAATAATTACCATCATTTTACATACTCATTTTTACATTTTAAACAGTAATTTTTCCTACCGTCATATTTTTGTCTTCTTTGAACACTTCAAGAAACTAAAAAATGCTCAGCCAGCATGGCTCAGGGGTTGAGCATCGACCTACGATCTAGCAGATCGAGGTTCAATTCCCGGTCAACGCACATGCCCAGGTTGCAGGCTCAATGCCCAGCAGGAGGCAGCCAATCAATGACTCTCTCATCATTGATGTTTCTCTCTCTCTCTCTTCCTCTCCCTGAAATCAGAAAAGACATATTTAAAAAAACAACAAAACTAAAAATGTCTGTATCAACACAAAATGTTCAACCAATTTTCCTTAGTTTATTTCTTGATTTATTTCAAATTTGATTTATTCCTTTCATAAATACTTACTTTGCAAGATAATGTATGGATTCAAGACATCACAGTAAGATGGCCAAAATAATGTCTGGCACTCAGGAAATTATTGTCATTATCATTAGACTATAGTAGATAGAGAGTCCTAAAATGATGAGCATAAAAAGGCTATGCCTACAAAGGCATAGTTATGTGTCAAGTAAGGAAACCCTTGGCAGATAATCCCAGAACAAACTGAGAACTGCATGAGCAGCATCATGATAACCACCACCATTTACTACCCTTACTATCATCACCATCATCACCCAACATCATTCTCTTCCGAAAGCATCTATTTATATGGCTTTAATTTTTCTAGTATGAAGCATTTAAAAATAGGGAAACATCCCCAACATTACACAGGTAATAAATAACACATCTTAACATTTCTGACATTTAAAAAAAAATTGATAACATAACACAAGTCCATTTTCATTTCCTCTCTCCATTATCGTAACTAACCACTGTGGACAAATAAAAGTTCTATGGAAAGTAACCTCACAGGGTGAAGTGATCCTGAAATTCCTAACTGGGAGGGAATGGTAGGTAGTCAGCCCCAGGACTATAACTTTTTTAGTGAAAGGTTTTAAGCCTGCCCAGTCCATGTTCATATGCACCTAGATTAACCTTTGAAATACCAGAATATCCCTGGAAGGGGGTATTAATCCTCAAGAGAGTTCATAATCTTGTTAACTATCCTGTAATCCAATCCCTGCCTTACTTTCCCCTCCTGAATTTCAAATGTAGCAAAACTGTTATTCTCCAGAGCATCTGCAATCTTGCTCTTCGGCATGTCATCAGTTTGGCTCAAATAAACTCTTATAAAAATTCTCTACAGATCTGGATGTTTCTTATGTCAACACCACTATCATAGAATATAGTGTTAATCCTTACTATTCGTTTAACTGAAACTATAGATATCCGTAAACTAGAGAATTGCTTTGCATGTCTTCATAGTACTAAATGGCACATTGGTCTATACCTTGCTTTCTCAGCTCAAAAGTCTGCTTGTTTATTGTTGTTTTAATTCATGTTTCATGTATCTCTGGTTCATTCATGAAAGCAGCTGGACAAGTACTACAATGTATGAATATCACAATATATTTGTCCATACTCTAATGAAATGTTTAAACTGTTTCTAATTTTGTTATTGATAGGCTGCAATAAACATAACTCCTTGAGCACAGGCACTAGTTTCTAGGACATATTCCTAGAAAGAAAATTGCTAGGTCAACGTCATTAGAGGTTGCTAAACTGATCTTTTTACATTCCAATGTAAAAAGCATTCCAACCAGCAGTGTAAGAAAGTTCGTTTCTCCTTATTCTCACCAATTTCTGGTATTGTCACACTTTTTAATTTTGCAAACTAAGGACTATAAAGTGGTATCTCACTATTTTATTTTTTCCTGATTAGTAAGATTAAGTATCATTTATTGGCCTTTCAAGTTTCCTCTCATGCGAAATGCCTTTAACAGTATTGCGATTTTTCTATTAACACTATTTTTCTATTGATTTGTGGTAGCTCTTAAAATTAGTCTGGTATCAACTCCTTATTGATTATATGTGTTTTTAAATGCTCTATCTCCCCAGAAAGGATAAACCTGTTGCTGATTTTGAAATCCAGTAAGGTATAAAAGCAAAGACAATTCCTACCTTCTCAAAGTTCACAGCTACTTTCCAGACCTTTATATCTGGATTTCTCAAATCTTTCTGGCCACTTACAAAAGATAAATTTCTCCTTGAGAGCCAAGACACATACACTTACATATGAACTGAAAAATGGAGCTCTAAATCAATTTCTTCTACTGATTTAACCACAAGCAAATACACAACAAAAGGATAGTTTGTCTCCATTCTAAACAGCCAAGGCTACCTGGCTCTCATATTAATACATAACATACCTTTCATATGGGTCTATTTTTATTAAAACGGTTTATTAACATCCTTAATAAATAACCATCTTTTCACTTCATCAGAATGTCTGAAACAACAATGGACAGTGCCGACACTCCCTACCCAATGAATTAATAAGAATTAAGGTACAAATCCACACTAAGCATGTGAATTTAAATTTTTAGTCGCACTACTATGCAATCAGTTCTTACACATAAAGGTTCTCTGCAGAAGTGAAATGAGTCTGGATATTTTAGTGACAGCATACTACTGCTCAAAAAAGTTAACTTCATTTATAGAAGCACTATCGAAGGTTTTGCAAAATAAAGACACTGCCCTAGACGCATATTAACCAGCAAGAAAGGACCTTAGATCACTTAATCCAACTCTCTCATATTCAGGTGAGGCAACTGCAGTACCGAAATTAAGAAATTTGCCCAATCCAGGTCCTCCAAATCCTATAAATTCAGGTCTTCGCATTGCATTACCTATTTTATTTTAGACTCCCCAGTTCTAAAACTCTGATTCCTTTATTAATTTTACAAAATTGAGTTGATGTGTTATGGAAATGATGGAAGTAACTCCTAACTCCACACCAATCTTTTCCTTTCCACTCCCTTTCTCCTACATAGCCTCCATTACTGATGTGCAGAATTTAAAAGATACACCTGAATTTCTAGCCCTAATTAGGTGCTGAGTCCAAAGCCCCTAGTTACTGTTTCCGTATTAAACCAATAGAAGGTCTTGTTTAATCCTTCGCTCCTTTATTCAGCAATCCTTACAAAGCGCCGATTTTGCGGGAAGCGCAGTGAACGCTGCTCCTCCGAGCCCCTGGGACACCGAAGCCAAGGAGCCCAGGGCGCCGGGAAGGGAGTACCAGGCAGCGGGGAGCTGCGGTCGCTGGGGGGATGGGGCTCCCGGGGAGCCGGGCCCGGGCTCCCAGGCGACTCACCTTTACGCAGCTCCCGCTCCCACACGGTGACGATGGGGCGCGAGTGCTTGCGGTGGTGGATGAGCCACAGGGACAAGGTCTGCACGCTCTGCTGCGAGTTGCTCAATTCCGACAGCTTCTTCTCCAGCGCCGCCTCGGAGAAGGCGGACATGCCTCCAACACCGCGTTCACGCCGTCTCACGCGGTGGGGCTGAGGGGAGGAGAGTTTTGTCGCACTCGCTGCGGCCTCGCCCCCTCACCCCACCCTTCCCCACGCCCACACCACCGCCGCCGCT